CCATTTTTCAGATGGGTAAAGTAAGGCTCAGAGAGAGCTAGTGACCTGTCTGAGGTCACATAGCAAGTCTTGAGGGAGACCAGGATGGAACCTGGGCGCTCAAACCTGTCCTGAGTCGGTTTCTTCTCTTGGGAAAGAGAGCGGCAGGGGGCCCGAAACAGTGCAGTCTTGGGGGCAGGACGGGCCGGCAGCCTAGCGACCATGGCAGGGAGAAGGAGGAGGAGCGTTCCAGGATGTCAGGATGAAGAGGACCCTGGGAGTGCGGGCCCATCCCCAACATCCTGCCCTAGCTCCATGGCAGGCATTCACTCCATCACAGGCACAGACTCTTGGAAGGCCTTTTCCTGTGCAAACAGGAGGCTGTAGCAGTTCAGGGCAGAGGCCAGGAACTCAGACAGAAAACAGGCCTTCGGGCTGGGGAGGGGCTTTGGACATCAGGTTCAGAGGTGAGAGCTTTCTCTTGTCCCAGAGCCAGCAGGGGCTCTTGGCAGGGGATTTCTTGGGAACTTGGCTGGTATCAGCAGCCCTGGGAGGTGGTTTGGAAAAATCGATTGATCCTAAGTAATGCCATTAGTCCTGGCAGGAAGGGGAGGGGTGGTGATGGGCTGTTGGAGGAGGGGAGGGAGAGTCTGGCCTGATCTCCGAGAGCTTGTCCCAACTGCCCAGTGTCTGAGCAGCACATCTCTCTTAACTGAACTTCTGGGCCTTTCTCTGGAGAATAGTCTGGAAGCCCCTAGTACCTCCTCCTCTTGCTGCCCTGTGCTGGTCACTGGGGACATGGGGATAACTCAGGCTGTCCCATGGGGAGGATGGGAATGTCAAAACAGTGCTTACACAGTATATGCTCAGGTAAGAGTGAGGGTCATGCAGGGCTGTGGGAGGCTGGGGAAACCTCTAAGCAAACCTCGTGCTCAGGGAGGGTCCCTGGAGCAGGTAACATCTGAGCTAAGACTCGAAGGATCAGGAGGTGTTTACCGGGTGAAGGAACAGCCAGTTCTGGAGATGAGGTGGGAGGAGCAGGAGGGGCTGGATCCTGCTCATTTGCCTGTTAGAAAGTTCAGTCTGGCCGCAGGTGGAGATGAGACCTGAACCAAGGAAGTGGCCGAGGGGATGTGAGAAAAGGACCTTGAGGGGTGTTAGAAGCAGGTCAGGGGTGGTGAGGAGGTCAAGGTGGCAAAGCTAGGTCTGCAGGGCCTGGGTGACACCCCCTGGAAATAGCCAAGAGCCGCTGGCTATCTTGAGAGGCAGGGATTGGGTGGCCTTGGCAGCACCTAGTAACTGAAGCCACGGGAGTGAACAAGATGGCCCCAGCCAGGAGGACACACAGAGGAAAAAGAAGAGGTTTGCCTCCCAAAGAAGCCTCTGTGGTTTTGAACAGCAGAGAAACTCACCTGGGGAGGAGGAGCCTCCAAAAGCCAGGATTGGCTGAGGCGTGACATACGCAGTTCTACTTCCCTCTTTGCCAGATTGGAAGTGGAATTTCCATTCCAGGGTGGGTGGTAATGCTCAGTCATGGGGATGGGGGAGGGGCAGGCAGAGGACACATGGGAATCAGTCCCAGGGTCCAGGAAGTCGTGGGAAAGGAACATGAAGGCAGGGGAACCTGGTGTGGGCCCGGCTCGCAGAATGGCCACCTGCTGTACCCTCCCTCCAACCCCAACTGTGTGTTCTCCTATAGAAGTCAAGGCAAAGGCTGCCCCGCCCTTCACACATTCAGAAACCAGGGCTCAAGAAAGAGCCCTGAGTGGCCCCAGCCTCAGAGCAAGTCAGTGGCTGAGACAAGGGAAATCCACGCTTCTTTCTGCACTGCTGCTGCCTCCTCCCTTACTGGGGAGGTGGGACAGATGTGGTGACTGACGTGACAGTAGACGCCCTAATCTGGGGGGGTGTATAGGGTGAGATCTGGCTCCCTGGCTGTGGACTCTGGCCGTTCACCCCCTCTGGAAGGCTGTGAATGTGGGAGTTCATATGTGGGCACCCTAAATCTTCCGGAGTGTAGTAAAGCTGAGTGCAGCAGCCTCATCACCCCATCCTGTCCCCCAGGCATTGGGCTCAACCTGGCTCAGAGAGCCCCCAGCAGCTGCATCATGTTCCACTGCCTCCCCAGGGAGCCACTGGGACAGAGGCTGCACCAGTCAATTCCCAGCAATTAGGAAGCTCTGGGTCATTCAGTTTTCCCAGCAAGCTCCTAATGCATCTTTCCCTTCAGACTGGAGGCTGTAATCCCTTTGCTGAGGTTAGCATTGGTGGTGGCATTGGTGGGGAGTGGGAAGGGGGATAGGCAGAGGCCTTGAGTGAGGCCCAGAGGTGGGAGTAGTGAGTGGGCCTGAAGCCTGGCCTGCCCCTATTACAGCCCCCGTGCACCTTACAGGACTCAGAGCTGCCTCCAGGAAGCATGGTCTGACCCTCCCTGCACTGTGGTAAGTGCCCACAGCCTTCCTTTACTCCCTGCATCATACACTGCACTTACAACACTGGCTCATGAGACTTTAGCACCCAGTAGTTGCTTGAGTCTGCAAACGTTCCCAGACGGTAAGTATTTTAGGCTCTGCAGGCCATATGGTCTCTGTGGCAACTACTCAACTGTGCAGTTATAGTTAAAGCAGCCACAGACAATACATAAATGAATAAGTGTGGCTGTGTCCAATAAAACTATTTATGGTCACTGAAATGTGACTTTTCATGTGTCACAAGATATTCTTGTTTTGATTTTTTTCCCCCAACAATTTAAAAATGTAAAAACCATTCATAGCTTGTGGGCTGTACAAAAATAGGCAACAGGTCGGATTTGGTGGGCCCAGGGGTTACAGTTTGCCTGGGTATGAATTCTGGTGCTACAGTGTGACCTTTGGTAAATGGCTAATACTTTCTGTGCTTCAAGTTTCTCATCTGTAAAATGGGGATGATAATAATAAGACTTTGGAAATATAAAATGTTTTTTATTTTGGAAAATAATTTGGCAGTTTCTCAAAAAAATTAAACATAAGAGTTACTATATGACCCAGTAATTCTACCCCAAAGTATATATCCAAGAGAAAGGAAAATATATGTTCACACAAAAACTCATTCATAGCAGCATTATTCATAAAACCAAAAAGTGGTAACAACCCAAATGTCCATCAGCTGGTGAATGGATAAACTGAGTTGTGTGATATATCTGTGCAATTGGATATTATTCAGCCATAAAAAGGAATGAAGTCCCAATACATGCTACAACATGGGTGAACCTTGAAAGTATTGTGCTAAGTGAAAGAAGCAAGACACAAAAGTCCACATGTTGTATGATTGTGTTTATATGAAACCTCTAGAGTAGGCAAATCCATAGAGACAGAAAGGAGATTAGTGGTTGCCAGAGCCTGAAGGGCTGGGGCTAGGGTGAGTGGGGGATTGACCGCTAATGGATATGGGGGATTTTGTTGGGATGATGAAATGTTTTGGAATTAGATAGTAATGATGGTTGTACAACTTTGTGAATATACTAAAAATGAGTATACTCAATATTGAGTTATATACTTTAAAAGGGTAAATTTTCGGGCTGGCCACTTAGCTCAGTTGGTTGAAATGTGGTGTTATAACACCAAGGTCAAGTGTTCAGATTCCCGCACTGGCCAGCCACAAAAAAAAAAAAAAAAAAAAAAATCTAAAAGGGTATGGCATGTGAATTTTATCTCAGTTAAAAAATTAACGATAATACTTACTTCCTAGGGTTGCTGTTAGTGTTAATGCTTGGAAAGCACTTGGAGCAGTGCTGGTTGTTCCCTTCACTGGTCCTGTGAGTCCATGAGAGGCTCACAAGTGTCTGTCCTGTTGACAGTGTCTCCAGGGCCTAAGACAGGGCCTGGCATAGAACATATGACTGAATTTCCAGAGTCTCACAGAGCAGAGGTTGAGTCCTGACACCTCAGGGCAGCTGTGCTTTGGGCAAATAACTTTTCTGCTCTGAGCCCCATCTGCTAAATAGAATAATAAGAATAACAACCTCACAGTGGTGTCGAGGGTCAGATGATGCCTGACACCAGGGTATGTGAGGTGCCCCAAGCCAGTGCCACCTGGTCACATTTGACCAACCCTGGCCCCAGGAGGCTGAGCCCCCTGTAGCTATCTCCTGGTGCCAAGCAGGGTCGGGACAGCTGCTCCTGACAGCGACAGTTCAACCCTCAAGATACCTCCTATTGCTACGCCAGCCTCCCGCAGGCCCCACCACGTGAAGGGCTCCTGTGCCTGAAGGAATGAGCACTTCGGAGCCACTGGAGCAGATTCCTAGATCGACTGCTCCCAGCTGTGTGACTGCAGGCCAGGCATTGCTCCCCCTGCCCCCGGCCTCAGTGTGTCCAACTGTCAAAGGGGTTTGGGACAGTACCTGCCACTTCAGGTGGTTGTGGCGATGAGCTGGAACAATGAATGTAAAGTGCGCACACAGTGCCTGGTGTGTTTGAAGTGTCAGTACATGTTGACTTTCATGATAATTTATTCTAAAATGTTTATTTTGAAAGTCGGCTATGGACTAAGCATTGTTCTAGTTACTGGGAATACAGCAGAGAATAAAGAGACAAAAATCCTTGCCTTCATAAAACTTACCTTGCAGTGGGGTAGGCAGACAAAATAAGGAAACTGTATTTAAGAACAGGAGAATATAGAGCTGAGGATGTGGGAGGGAGCTTAGGGAGTGTAGGAAGGGGCTGCACTTGTGCAGAGGGGGATTTGGGCAGTTTCACTGAGAAGAGGACACTTGAGCAGAGACCTGAGGAGAGGGGGTTTCTGAGGTCAGAGCAGGCAGGGGAAACAGCAGCGTGCGAGGCCGGCGTGAGGAAGGCAGGGAGCTCGCTGTGGCTGGAGGGGAAGGAGTAGGGAGGACAGGTCCTGGGCACCTGCAGGGGTGGGCCCCTGACCCCCAGGCTTTGAGGAGAGAGCTCCCCCTGACCTGGGCTATACTGACTTTCACCGTATCGGCCTGACCCCTCGCTCTTCCCTGCCTCACAGCCCTGTGCTTCCTCCTGCAGGACCAGCCGGGGCCTCCATGGGCGCCTGAGGGCCGGGCGCCAGCGCGGCGGGCACGAGCATGGTGAAGCACCAGCCCCTGCAGTACTATGAGCCACAGCTGTGCCTCTCCTGCCTCACGGGCATCTACGGCTGCCGCTGGAAGCGCTACCAGCGCTCCCACGATGACACCACGCCGGTGAGCCACCCTGGGACAGGTCAAAGGGACCCAGGGAGCCCCAGCAAGCCCGAGGTGCTAGGGGAGGGGGCCTGAGCTCCATCTCTCTGCTTTATAGTTCCAGACAGATCAGTCACTCCTCTGGGTTTCAGTTTCTTTCTCTGTAAAATGGGCCCATAGTAATTCTTGAGTCTACCTGACCAGGTGGGCAGGGAAGGAGCTCATCCTGTCATGGACACAGCTGAACTCTCCTCTGATGGCATGGGGACTGGGCAGGGGGGTGGCGCTCCATGAGGGAAGGATCACCCTGAGGTGAGTGGAAGTTCTCAGCTTCCTGGCAGATCTCTGGACGGGGCCTGACTAAGGCCACAGAGACTGGAGCCCCCCGTGTCTCCACCCCAGGCGCCTGCCGGGAAGCCCCCTGGAGCACCATGCGTTACAGCCTTTCCCTCTTATGAGGAAGCAGGATTCCCCCACAGTGGTGCGGCCAAGGGCTCTGGAGTCAGAGGACTAAAGCTCCAGTGGTGCCTCCTCCACCTGTACCTAGCTGCCCGTGAGCTCCCTCACCTGGGAAGTGGAGGTGACGACACACCTGCAGTTGTGGAGGAACCACTGGCAATGATGTGGGATGCAGGATGTGAAGTGGCCAGCACAGTGCCAGCTGTGGCTAGCCATTGAGACAGGTCATTCTGGATGCTGAACCCCAGCTTCTTTCTCTGGGAGGGAGAGGGGTCGGTTTAGTGACTTCAGCATTCTTTTTTTTTTTTTTTTCATTTTGTCATTTTTAGACTTTTATTAGACCTGAGTCTTCTCTTTCATCCCTCTGAACTTGCCAGTTTGTATTGCCTGAGTGACATCCATGTGCAATCTTGGCAACCTGATTTTTTTTTAAAAGAAAATGTAATTTTATTAATATATTTTTTTACATTCTAGGATGTTGTTGCAGAGCGGTTGGGAGAAAGAGGGAGGAGGAAAGGGGAAGGAAATGTGATGGAAGAAGGAGGAAGGAGGAGGGGTGGGATTGAGGCCTCTGGCACCCCCCCCTCATTCCCACAGGGGAGACCCGGGGGGCTTCCAGCAGTAGCTATGTCATTGCCAGGGTGGGTGCAGATGTCGGGGGTGTGGCAAGAGCACTTGCCCCCCCCCACCCCAGCTTGGGAACCCAGGGCACTTCCTGTGGTGGCTTGGTGGTCACTGCTGGGCTGGCTGTGGGTGTCTGGGGGTGTGGCCGAGGCCCTCGTCCCCCACCCTTGGGACTGGTTGCAGGTGTCGGGGGCATTGCTGAGGCCCCCAGCACTCTCCCCTTTCTGGCTTGGTAGCCCAGGGGACATCCAGTCCTTCTAGGTGTTATAGATGTTCTTTGGTGAAATGAGACCTTTACTAGTTAATATCAAACTTTTCCTCTGGTTGGAGGTGCTTTGTTTTTTCTTTCAGTTCTGTGTTGGATTATTTGCTGTTCCTACCACTTAAACTCTGCATTGGAACTAATTTGAAGTCCTTTGCTTACTTCTAAAATGGGGGAACTTCCTGTGACGACCAGTACTTGATGTGTGTGGTTTAGCTAAATAGCTGCTTTGCTGCTGATTCCCTGGGGAAGGCTTTTTGTGCAGCTCAGGTTTTAATGATTGACTTTATAGGTACTTCCAGGTCTAGTGAAATCCAGTGCACCTGGGTTGTGTAGAAACTCTGGTCTGGGCCTGAGTCTTTTCATCAAACTGCACCCCATGAATTCTATATTCTTGACCAGTCTCCTCTGAGTGGTCTTAGGCTTATTGGGGGACAGATCAGCTGTCCTTGCCATGCCCCAGTGTTCCCCCGGTGGGCCTGTCTCCCCCACCACCCATGCTGCAAACACTTCTCATGGGATGGACCACAGTGCCTTGTGATGACTCACTGGCCTCTGAGTGGCTCCTTGGTCCTATGTGGGTCCATGGGAACCCTATTAGTGGTATTGCTGGCCTGGGGCCACCAAGGCCCTCTTATCACCTGCTGCCTCCAAGCAACTCCACCTGAAAGGCACAGCTGCAGCTTTTGCCATCTCCTGCTCTGTGCTCTCAGCAGCTCCAGCCTGGATGCGGCCAGGGCTCAAAACAGTCAGAGCAGTTTTTTCTTTCTCTCATCATGGCTTCTCCTGCCTACATGCACTGTGTAGGTCTCTCCTCCTCTTCCCCTGATCTCTAGCAGCCCCAGTGTAGCTGCCATTGCTTTTTTATAGTTGTAAATTGGTTGATTTGTGGGAGGGAGTGATGCTGGGGACCATCTATTCCACCATCTTGACTGGAAGTCTGACTTCAGCATTCTGTGGCCACTCTGCTTTGCTCCATGCTCTGTTCTCCCCAGGGGCTGGGGGCAGGCGGAAGGCCTCCCTGACCCTGGCCTTCCTGTGTCTAGAAAGGCAGGAGCTCCACCGTAGGCAGCACCCCGTGCATTCTGCGAGCCGGCGCTGTTCTGAGTGCTGACACACGCCCACACGTTCCTCCCAACAAGCGTGTGAGCTACAGACGGGCAAACAGAAGCCAGGGATGTGAGTGACTGGGACATGGGTGCACAGCCTGTGAAGGGCAGAGCCTGGATCTGGCCCTGAGTGCTGTAGATGGTGGGAAGACAGACAAGGTTGTGGGGAGAAGGATAGCTGAGCTCCCAAGCAGAGAGCCTTTGGCCATTGGGCAGATGCTGGCAGAAGGTATATCCCACAGGGCATCTCCTGCCCCTTGAAGGGTCCTGGGCTAGCTGGTCAAGGCTGTGGAGTCAGGAAGTGATGGGTCTCGGCTGTGGCCATCAGAGGCCCCAGATGGAGGAAGTGGGCCGAGACTGGTTTTGAGCTGACTGGGAGCCAGTGTGGTACAGACTCTGCAGACACCAGGGTCTGGGACTCCAGGTATCCAGGTATGGAGCCAAGGCTGGGGGTGGGGGGGGGCAGCAGGAGACCACAAGCCAGGTTGAGGGGGAGAGGGGAGAGAGCTTTGCAGCAGCTCTGCAGAAAGGGGCGGGCTCAGCTCAAGCGACCCCAAAAGTCACAGCTGAGGATGAGCATCCCTTGCTCCTCCAGCCTGTCACTAGCCCCACCCCCGCACCTTTCTCCTCCCACTTCCTGAGCTCAGAACCCCTGCCCCATCCTTTCTTTCCTCCCTCCTCTCTCCTCCTTTCTCTCCCTATTCCGGGGTTGGGAGGATGTGGGGAGGGGTGGAAGCTGGGCTCCCTGGCCTGGTACAGTGAAGGGAACAGCAATCTGGTGTCTCAAAGACAGAGCCAGTGCAGAGTAAGGGCTCCATAAATTTCGGTGAACAAATAGAGGCCCTCGTGTGAGCTCTGGGAGTGCTGGAGGGGAGAGGAGAGCTGCCTGGGCTTAGGGGCAGGTGGAGAGGCCTCTGCAAGGGGAAGCAGGGTCCACCATGGGCCTGGTGCCTCGCTTCATTCCCACTTTCCCCTCTTCCTGTGGGGACTCTCCCCCCATCTTTGACTCAGGTAAGCCTGGGTTCAAGTCCTTCTTGTTTACATGCATCACCCCATTCATTGTTGTAAAACCCCCATGGGGCATGTTTAATTGCATGCCCATTTTACGGATGGAGAAATCAAAGCTTAGAGCCATCACATGGGGCATTGAGATTTGCAGCAAGAGGCTCAGGGAGATAGAGGTTGGGGGAAAGAACAAGGATGGGTGTTGAGAAAGAGCGTTTGGGACAAGATAGGGAGTGTCCTCGAATGCCAGGCTAGGAACCCTCAGTGTGTCCCTCTTTAGGATCCAGCCCCAGCCCCGCAGCACTGAAGTGGATCCTGGGGAGTGACGAGAGTGGGTCGAGAGCTTGGGAGCGCCCCCTCCTCTCCATCCAAGCTGGTCTCCTTCCTGCCCCACCAGCCTGACGTTCCCAACTCCTCCAAGCCTTTGCTCACGCTGCTCCTCCCCCCAGTTCCGACGCTTGGCGAGTAAGGAAACAGGAAAGTAAGGACCAGAGAGGTGGGCTGACCTATTCTGCAGCTCCAGCGCACCAGCCTGACGTTCCCAACTCCTCCAAGCCTTTGCTCACGCTGCTCCTCCCCCCAGTTCAGACGCTTGGCAAGTAAGGAAACAGGAAAGTAAGGACCAGAGAGGTGGGCTGACCTATTCTGCAGCTCCAGCGCTGAGGAGCGGAAGCGCCTGGCAGCAGGAGGCCCGCCTCGCTCAGCAGCAAGGGAGGGAAGCACAGCTTTTTATAACCGGGGATAATTAATTGGCTGTTGTCTGTGACTCATTACTCTAATACTGCCAATTAAGGACTTGGTAGGACAGAAGACAGTTCTCAGGCTGTCCCCACAGGCCCCCTGAAGACTGTGTGTCTGTGGGAGGCAGCCCAGCTTCTCTGTGGCCAGAGGGATGTAGGTCAGATGCCTGGTGGAACTTCCCAGCCAGAAACTGAAGGAGACACTGTGAATGGTCAACTCTCTTCATATTTCCTTGGCCTTTTGAGGGCTGTTACAATCTTAATTGGTCCCCTCCATCATACAGATGGGGCTCCAGGAAGAGTGAGTGGTTTATTCAAGCCAAGGGGCTGAAGGCACAGCTCACACTGCCCCCTCTCACCCCCCCAGGCCTATGCCCTCTCCCGCTCCACGCAGGGATGCACTGGTTACTTGTTTGGTTAACAAACCTGTCCTGATACCTGCTCTGGGCCCTGGGGTCACAGATGTATCAGAACTGGTTCCCCCTCCCTTAAAGGGTTCCCAGGCTGCTGGGGAAGCCAACTGGAACTGACATACCCAGATCACCCACGATGATCATTGCAGAAGCCCAGGGAAACCCGAGGGCAGGAAAGTTTGCCTGAGCTGGTGTCAGTGAGTTAGTGTCATCTCACCAGAGTGGGGAGGTGTTCAGGGCAGGGGGATCTGTGTGTACAGAGAGCATCTTGTGTTTGGGAACTGGAAGTAATTCAGCCCCAGTGTGGCTAGGGTGTGAGGAGGGGAGAGGGTGTTGCCAGGTGGACCCGAGCCTTGAGGCTGTGCTGAGGAGCCTGTGCTTCATCCTGGGCATGGCAGCCCCGAGTCAG